TCCATTACTTTTGGTCACGTCACGTCTCTCAATATTTTTGCAACATTATGATAAAAATATTTTTAAAATAATTAAATTTTGTGCTTTGAATTGCCATAATTAAATGCATAATAATTAATTTTTAATGCTTAAATATTTTTAATTATTACATTAGTGACATTTCGAAAGCATTAAACACGGGTGCTAATCATAAATAAGTAAAAAGTGGAGGGCACATGTGCAAAATTTATTAATTGGTTTTTAGCTAATTAAGTGTCGGCCAAAAGATTTTAGAGGAGCCCACCAAAAATTTGGTGGTGCGGGTGGACCAGTCATGAACTGCACACGCGTAGCACTGTGGCGATCGGGAACTCACTTGTCCCGACACACACGTGGCGTTATTTCATTGGTTCCGGCATCCTTCATGGAAAGCTCCAGATGTTCTTTCCGTGCAGCCGCTGACGTAAAATCCGGAAGTGACGCCACGTGTACGGTTATTAAACGACTTTCCTTACACACGTATCACACGATAGATTAAAAATATAATTTAATTGTAATCATTGTTTTGTTTAATGGGATTGGCTTATGTGTAATTGACCAATCAGAGGCTTCCACCTTGATTTATTTGTTAAACCATAGGTGTCTTTAATGATGTAATGGAAGTATCAAGCTGTTAAGTGGGATTCGACACGCGTCAATTTTTTACTGGTTGATATTTTATAATTTTTTTTTTTGAACATTTGGTTTGTCATGCGTGGATGGGTGAGAGTGACCGATTGATAATAGTCTTGTTTTGAATTGGTTAATTAATTTTGATTTTATTGGTCACGTAATTAAGAGTTTTTTTTTTTTTTTCTAACACTCGAAAGCTACATTAATTTAATTAATCATAGTTTTGAACTGTTAATTGGATTTTTATTATGACTTAGTTTGATATGAATTCATAATTTAATGTGATACGGAGGCCCATTAGTGATATATATAATTTTGGACCGCCTATAGTATAGTTATATACAAATTTAATAATAAAGCCCATCTATGGTTAACAAGATAAACCCAAAAAAAAATATAATGGGCTCGATTCAATTTTTGCATGGCTCTAATATAAAGGTTCCCGTAGCAAAAATATTAAATTCACTAAGCTTATATTAAGAAGTATAATTTTTATGGTACCATAATTTAAATTAAGATATACAATTTTGTACTATATGTGACATCGTACAATATTTGATACGACATTAGGATAATAATTATAAATTCATTAGTTTTTATTGAATCGGAAATTATTATTTCAATTTTAAATAAATTTCAATATGAGTTTAAGTTATTTTATAAATATAATATATTAATTTCAACATACAAAATTACAAATTGCAAACTTTGTAAAAGTGAATTTTTTCCAACTTGGCGTTTTGTCAATTTCAAAAATAATATCCCAATTCTATTGTGCGAATGAAGCCATTGAAGGCCGTACAATCGGAGGAATTTTATAGTCCATGAGTGTATATATATATATATATTAAATATAATAATATTAACATATAATTTAATTCCACTTGCTTAAAAAAAACAAATGAAACCAAATATTTTAAAAAATTCACTTTTGTTAGTGATATTAATAAGTGACATATATATATATTAATTATAATAAAATATAAATAATTATACGTATAGAAGTATAATCATGCACTAAACATTTAATTAAGTGCATAATTAAAGGAACGTAAAGATTCGCTTATACATTTGACTTTCTCCCTTGATTTATTCTTCTTATAGCATAAACACAATAAAGATATCCACCGTATGTATATACGTATGTATATATATATATATATATATATTATTTAATTGATACATCACAATTATTAATTACTAATTTCTAATTATTAGTTATTATTTAACATTAAGGTTATGAATTCAAACATAATAATAATATAATTGAATATTATGTAAACCCATGTTCAAAGATTTGTAACATGTCGTCTCCTTCACGTCAATTTGCCCCACAAGTAACCTAATTTAAGTCCCATCCATGTGAACCATTCATATAAATATATATATATATATGTATGCATGTATGTATGTATGTATGTATGTTGTACGTACATATATATATATATATATACATGCGTGTGTATGTGGGTATATGTATGTGATTTATTATGTTTTATAACAGAGTTGGTCCAAACAAGTTATGGGTAAGTGCATCATTAGATTTCTATCCAAAGCAAATAAATTAAAATACTAAAATTCTCTTAGTATTATATAAAAATGTCCAAATAAATATATATATATATATATTAAAAATTATTTTTGTACTTTAAAAAATAAAATATTTTTTTTATTTCAATTAATTTTCAATATTTTTATATATTTCACGTCTTTAAAATTAATCTTAATTTTTTAATATTATATATTTACGGATTAAATAATATTTATTAACGCGGGCTATATATGTTTTTACATATTAATCATTATATATATATAATAAACTAATTACTTTTTTATATTAAACAATAAAAAAAAATAGTTAGAAGAAAATAAGTAATCAATTATTGGTTGATTAATTTTTTAATAACAAATGTTAATTAGGTAAACGCAAGTTTTAATACAAAGTTTCAAAGAGGTGGAGCCTACTTGCTTTAATAATAAAATTAATGAATTTTTAATACGTCTTGATTAATTATATGTTAATCACACAATCATTAATTTATATGTTTATGTTATTTTATAAATTATAAAAATACTGAATATAAAATTTTATATTGTTCGTAAAATTAAAATTTAATATAAACCCCGACAAATTTATTTCGATTATGTCGTTTTATGTACGGATAATTATTAATTGCATTTTTTATATACAATTAGTTTTAAATATAAAAATTTAAAATTAGTGTGTTTACTATAATGATTTTTATGTTAATAAAAAGTCAGACGTTACCATCAATTGGGCAAATTCAATTTTATTTAATAATTCAATTAAAGACTTTTTCGAATGTAACTTATATTAAAAAAAAATGTAATTATCCGTAACATAATTAGTCAATAAGATCATGAAATAATTAATATTATAACCAAACATTTCATGTGGGTCATAGATTTTCTCTGGCAGGTTGACGAATACTAAAGTTGAATATGCAATAAAAACACGTAATTAACTCCCAATACTTTTATATTTAATATAATTATGCAAAATTCACTATTTGTAAATAAAATAAAAAAGGAAAGTGATTTTAATATAAATATATTAATTTTAATTTTCTAGATAACAAAGAATTTAAATAAAGTAATATAAAAAAATATATATATATATGGAATGTAAATTAATCCCAGCTAAGTACAGAGAAACCACACCTGTCATGGGGAACACGCAACTGTCCTCTCGTCCCGCTCCTCTGAAAACCCTAGAAGCATATACATACGTATATATATATATATATGTATAATTTTATATATAATAATTAGATGGAAAAAGGGCAAAAATAAATAATAAAAAAATTCAGAACCAACTCATGAAGAATGAAAATAAGAGCCGGTCTCTACGTCAATTCGTGATTTGAATGCGACCAAAACAGCCACCGCCCTCTCTCTCTCTCTCCCTCTCTCTCTCTTGTTCTTTCTTGAGCGGTCCTGTACATATACGACTCGACTTGGCAATTTCTATTACGATTCCCTCTACTTGAATCACAAGTTTCTTCTGCGGACGATTCTTATTTTCTTTCTATTTTTGTTTGGAGAATCTTGCGATTGAAAAAGAACCCAAAACTTGCGTTTGAATCCTCAATCAACCCTTTTCTGGGCTCTATAAGTTTCATTACTTGCGCTGGGCTCTATAAAAAAAACTTGGCGTTAGGAAAAAGCGGGTGTTTTTTGTTTTTTTTCTTTTGCAGAAATCTGCTCATTGTATTCAAGGTAAGAATTCGGCTCTCGTGTTCTTGTTTTTCTGTTGTTTATGGGTTGTCTGGTGTGTTATTCGTTGGTAGCTCCTTTAATTTGTTTGATCCAGTGATTACGGGTTCCTCTTGTTCATCTCTCATTGTTCTCTCATCTTCTCAATTATTTGTTTTGTTTTCTTAAATCTTAATTTTGAGAACTGGATTTTTTTTCAGGGTTTATATTTTCTAAATACCCACAAAAATGTATTCCTTCGCCCTTTTTCTGTAGATTTGTTTTCTCTATGTCAGTGAATGTAACATGGTACTGATATTTTGGATTTGATTTTACTGAATACTTTAGATTTTGCACTGGACAAGTTTTTTTATTATTTTTTTTAATTTTCATCTAAATTTTTGCTGGTTTCATTTGCTTGAAAAATGTGGGGCTAGCTGTTTAGAGCTTGTGCCTTTTCAATTACATCAGATCCAAGAAATATAAATTCTTTTGGTTTGATCTCTTATATCTCCTTGGGCATTGATCAGGTTGGATAATTTTTTTGGAGGCATAGATTCTCCATGGTGAGCTTTTGATGATTGTTTACAGTTCTCATTTAGATTGAAATTGTCTTGGGGGAAAAAAAAAGAGCAAGAGATTTACAATTTAAAAAATGTGGTCCATCCATGGCTTTTTTACTTACGTGTTTGGTCATGGTTATTAGGGAGAAGCCCCAGCTTGCTTGGTTGATGATCTGCAGAATGGATTCTCAAATGGGTTTGGTTCAAAGTCCAAACACCTTGAATCATCTGTTGTCATCGGGGATAAAGAGGTATTTTCATCGATTAATGATCCACAGTTGATTTAATGGGTCTTCATGGTCCTCTGTGTCTGGTATTGAACTGGTTCAGCCATCATATCAACTGAGAATACTGTGTGTATCTATGTGCAGTATATTATTGGTAGGACGGATAATGAATCGACATTATCGATTGGAGTCAAAATTTTTGTTAGATCTAAGGGGCAATGGTGAGTTAATAGCTTTAGTTTGCAATGTTGGTTCATTTGGATCTTGCTTCAGTTGCTGGACTTATTTACTTCTGGCGGTTATATAGGGTAACTCCTATTGTGCTTGGAGCAAAACCCAAGTTGTCTAAGGACCATTCGGCTGTTCTTGTGAAGGAAGATCGTATCTTGGTTATTAAAAAGGGTTCTACTTCAGATGACTGCATTTGGTTTCTGGAGGTTGGTATTTTTGAATGCTTCAGCTCTTTGCCTAAATCTCAAAGGTTATAAATTTTCTTGAAGAATGCTTCAGCTCTTTGCATTTGGCTTCTAGAGGTAGAAGAAGGTGTAGACTGTCGACAGTATGTATTTAATTGGGTTTTAAAACGCTCCAGCACAATATAATCAAATTGCAATCAAGCCCTTTTAAATTTTCTTGATCACTCGCCAGTTAAAAACGAACTCTTTGCAACTGTCAAGTCATTTTCTCATGGTATTTGAGCATATTCTGATTTGTTTGGTTGTATATTTTTGGATTATTTTGTGTGGAAATTGTTTGATTCTTTTGAATATGGTAGATTGACACAGGGTATGTAAGGGAGCAGAAGAAAATATTAGGCACTGAGGTGGTTGCATGGAGTAAGGGTGTGCGGGGCAATGCTGAGAAGCCAGTTGTCATAAGTGGTCCTTCGGGGGTAGGTAAGGGCACGCTAATAGCGATGCTCATGAAGGAATTCCCAACCATGTTTGGATTCTCGGTGAGCCACACAACCAGAGCTCCACGAGGCATGGAAAAGGACGGGATCCATTACCACTTCACAGAGCGAAGTGTCATGGAGGCAGAGATAAAAGATGGGAAGTTCCTTGAATTTGCTTCAGTTCACGGAAATCTTTATGGAACCAGCATTGAGGCTGTTGAGGTGGTAGCAGATTCTGGAAAGGTAACAAATTTGGGGTTCTCCGTCTCTCTACAAGAAATTCATTTTTATAAGAATCTTAAAAACTGCAAGCATTGGTTCTTTTATTTTCTCTAATGTTACTAGTTTCAGCAATTTCACATTCAATTAGCATTCAGAGTTTAAAACAATTCTTCTTGTCTTCCTTGATAATATATAGAGATGCATTCTTGACATTGATGTTCAAGGGGCAAGGTCCGTGAGGGCTAGTTCACTCGAAGCTGTTTTTATCTTTGTCTGTCCACCATCAATGAATGAGCTCGAAAAGCGTCTTCGTGCTAGGTGAATCCGTGTTTCCCTATTCTGATGTGAATCAGTCTGTTACATCCCCAGTTGATATCATCCTAAACATTGTAACAGGGGAACCGAGACAGAAGAACAGATTTTAAAGCGACTGCGAAATGCTGAGGCAGAAATCGAGCAGGGAAAATCTTCAGGAATCTTTGATCATATTCTGTACAATGATAATCTTGAAGACTGTTATGAGAACCTTAAGGTAAATCCTTTCGATAATGCCTGTTAGTAATTTGCTTATGGACTCGTCTTCTTCAGTTTTCTTGTGAGTTTTTCCCCAATACGTGAATGAGCTATTCTTCCATATGTTACAGAAAATCTTGGGACTTGACAGAAACATGCCTGTTGATGATTCATGTAAGAAACCTAAGCCCTAAATGCACCTGTCTTGCTTCTTATATATTCTAAAGCCTTACGGAATTATAATGAAGTGTCCGAAATTTGAATACAGCACCGAAAGGGATTGATCTGCCCGAAGAGCACTCGGTTTCAAAATTGGATAACAAAATCCTCATAAATTGTGGGACTTCAGAACTTGGAAAAGCTTCAAAGAACTTGTAAGTTTTATCGTAGAACAGAACGGTTATCTCGTACACTTTTGTTGCGCGGTTGAAATCTATATATCTCTTGCCAAACGTGCAGAATTGTATTGGACGTATCATCGCCGAGCGGGGGAGCACCCGGACGGACAAGGGGGCTTAAGGTGTATTCTGTTGATTCATTTTCCGATGGCCTGAATGGAATCGACAGTTTAAGCTAACGGCTACTACCCCTTACCCGACTAACGCGCATCCTAGTTTCTAATACTCATCTCCGAGCAAACAGCGCGAGAAAGATCCGGTGGCGGTGGTGATTTTAATTCGTTAAGTAGGATTATCATTTTTCTCGCGAACATTCTTTGCATCTTCATGTTCTTCTCTTCGGCGAAAAGAGAAGAAAAACAAACACGAAAAACAAACACAACTACGATTCGGTATTTAGACAAATTATGGTTTCCCTAGAGAGGGGCAATGAAAGAGATGATTCGAAAATTTCTTCGGCTACTAGAAAATTCTCCTGCATGCACAATTCTGTTCTTTAGTAAACTGTATTAGAATGTCAGAACATATGCAGCCAGCCGGGGACAACTATAAGTTGATATAAGTGCTATTTTATACGTTTTTAGCTCCCATCTCTGACTCTATTTAACACGGTTCATCTGCCGGCCACAACCATGTCCTCCGGTCTGATAATATTAGGGCGTAGAGTGCATATATATACATATATATATTTACATATATACTATGGTTGTATTTTTGAATTAAATAGAGGACCGTTAATGCAGTTTTCGGTTGGGGGAACGTGCGGTCGGCGGAGTCGGGGCTCGGCTGGTATCCACTCATTGTGGGCCCAACCAACCTGCCGCATCACCAATTTTCCACATAAATAAAAAATTAATTTATTATATAAAAAAAATATTTAATATATATATATATATAATTAGGAAAGAGAGAGGTAGGGGAGAACGGTATTATGTTGGGTGAGAATAGCAGAAGGAGATAAAGTTGGGGGACCCACTGGCTGGTGGGAAAGGAGCAAGTGGGTTTGCTGCTTTCTCACTTTCTCGGTTTTAATGAGACCTGCCGACCTGCTCGTGTTTGTTTCGTCGTAAATAGTATTTAATTAATGTATAATATTTTACGAGCATGTTAAAATTTTATTTATTTTTATTTTTAATTTAATGGAATGGTAGTAGTAAATCGGTATTTGAATAATAAATTTGTGATGAATTTTAAAAATTACGGATGATAATTTTTTTTTCTATTATAACTTTATAAAATATATTTAATTTTTGTTAAGTTAAATTAATATGATAATATAATTAATAATTATTTATTTTATTAAATATAAATTTAATTATATATATATTTTTTATCATGTATTTTTATATATTATTTAATATTACATATAATAAAATGTGAGTAAATTAATAATTTGATTGAAAATACGATGAATTTTGTTAATAACCCTAAAGTTATTTTATAATTTTTGTGTTTAAACATGTTAGAAAGTAAAATTTGGCTTTGATTTTACTGCTTCACAGTACAAACACTCTACTGTATGTATATATATATATGTGTGTGTGTGTGTGTGTGTTACAAATTTCAAATTGAAAACACATTGAAACTTACCAAGTACGAAATTCAATAAATTGGAGAAGAATTTCATGGGCTCTCAATGGGCCTGGCCCACAGTCAAAACCCATAAGGTACAAACATTAATGAAAAACTATATATATATATATAAACCCATAAGGTACAAACATTAATGAAAAACTATATATATATATATATATATATATATATATAGAGAGAGAGAGAGAGAGAGAGAGGAGTATTTATATATATATATATATGTGTGTGTGTGTGTGTGTGTATATATGTGTCAAGGTGAGGATTTTTGAAATGCAAAGAAGAAGAAGAGGTCAAGATCTGAAGGAACAAAGAAAGTGACAGAAGAAGAATTGGGAGAATTTTTTCTTCTCTTCATGGGAGCCGGCGGACATGATAATCTCTCTGGTATTCTCTGAGTTTTGGGTGTACGACAGCCTTCCGAGCTCGTGGCAGCCATTGTTTCAGCTTCTTTCTTTCCGCACTAATAATCTTCCTCTACATATATACACACACACGCACGCACGCACGCACGCACGCACGCATACACACATATTTACATACGTGTATGCATTAGTATTATATATATTTACATACGTGTATGCATTAGTATTTATATATATATATATACATATTTTTCAGCTTTTGAGATGGTGCCGAAGGAAACCAACAATATTAGTTAAAAGATGACAAGAAAAATACTCCAAAATTTTACCCAACTGCTACCACTCAATTATATATATATATATATATATATACGAGTTATATATTCTTCAATAATTATATAGGTTGGCAACTTTTTTGTAATTTTCAACTAAATCTTTTTATTTTGCAATTAAAACAAATATTTTTTTTAATCCTAAAGTTGAGGTATTCAAGAAAAAATCTAAGATAATAACCCCAACATAATTATAATATATTATTCCGGGTATAATCAATACGGCAGTATAATAATTAAAATATTAATTTCAGTAATTAAGTGAATTATACTTATAACAGTTGTAGTCAACTTAATATATAACTATTATAAAAAATATATATATTTTAATAGAGTGTGTAATTTTAAAATAAATTATAAAATTATTGTGTTTTATGAGTATTAAACTACAATAATAGAAACGGTTATCAACACATTCAATTATTTTAAATGTGTTTTGACATCTCATCTCGTTTATTAAAGAAACACAAATTTTTCTTTTAAGGTGTCTTTCGTCAAGTAAAATTACAGAGTTTTGTGCATAATAATTAGATAAAAAAAAAAGTAAGTCGGAGAATTAAAATTTTTTCTAATGGGTATTTTAATTACGTTATAACTATATTATCTCATAATGATACGTAAATAATAACTTTCTGTTGTTTTTTTTTTAAATATATGTTGAATTCAATAAAAAAATAATTTATGGGTAAAACTTTCTTACATAAAATTTTTATATTTTACTTAAAATATTAAACATTTATAATGCAAAATTCGTTATTTTTTTAATATATTATATATTAACTATCGTTAATTTATAATATTTAATTTAATATAATTTAAAATTTAATTCATTAAAATATTAATAAAAAATTATAATTAAATTAATTTTTAATATAACGAGTCATGATGTATCCGAACAAAAAAAAAAACATATTCATTAAGTTACTTTAATCGAAATAATTACGATGAACAATCGTGATTGAATACGTATAAAATCTTTATGGGCCGACTCGACCCGACCCATTAAGATTCTACAAACCTATCAAAAAGTTATATAGGCTGCATTTGGTTTGATTTTCATTCAATGGAGTATGAACTTAGTTTTGGCATATTTTTGTCAGATTACAATATAAATCATAAGCAAGAAAGGAAAAAGATATACAACCAGAAAAAAATATGTTAATTGGCTAAAATGTCAAAACATTGCAGATGCAACCTCCGCCAGTTTGCAAATTACATCTTCAAAGCAAAAGATTAAACAATGGCAGAGGCAGATTGTCATCATTGCCGTTAATTTCCCACTGTACACAAAATCATAACGCTAAATGAAAAA